CTACGTACATCAATTTTACACCTCTATCCCACCTCTTAGCACCCACTGCTCCACCCATCTCCCATGACCCCTATATTAGTTAAGGATTGACGAGGACTTGCTGGCTAATAGACCTTTCTCAAACATATCATGGATGTGAGTCTAACATGGAAGCACAAAAGAAACCACATATTTTTTCGATGGAATTTGTGGCATTTCTTTTGTATTTTCATGCTAGCCTTGCATTCAAGACAATTTTAAGAAGGTTCCATTGCAGTCCATAAAAAGACAGCACAGATTTAAAATCAATACTGACAACTTCACAATTTTTCTCCAGTGTATAGAATAGAGTGCAAACAATATGACCGTGAAACTTTAGTAATACTAAATAGCACAATTTCATGCAAATTCCATTGTTTTCTATTGTTTAATTGACCTATTTTGTACTATTTAGTAACTTGTGTTTCACGGATTAATTGTTTGCACTCTAATGAGAATTTTACCAACCTAATATAAAGATTTTCCAACTGATGTGAAGAGCTTATAAATATGACGTCTACGGCGACAATGGCTTCAATATCTCAATACTCGGCAGGATTGTCATTGATTTGGACTAAAACAAATTGCAAGAAGAAGAGAAAAACACGTGATTTTTGACCTGTTGTAAGCCATGTCCATAACGATGACAGCGTCCATTTATAACATTAAACCCAGGCAGTAACATTAAATATTACGAATATTATAACTAACCATGAAACAAGGAGAATTTCGAGCTTGTTTGGTTGCGCCTTCTCGACTCAGTCACATGTATAAACATCTATACCACAGGCAGCCCAAACCAATAACATTTTCTGTACTCCCAGTATCCCAGTAAAAGCTGAAGTTTTATTCTAGTATTTGAATGGCGAATGTAAATACATCACTAAGGTTACTTTAAACTAACTTACGCTACCTATTTCAGACACAATTAATGCTATTTCAGTTTTTCTCCCTCGTATATGAAATTACAGTCATGGCACGGTTTATACGTGCTGATGAATGACATCCTTTGAGCCAATCACATCGCACAAGCCCTCCAATGCTTGGACATAGCATCATACCATGCCATGTTAGTTCCTCGCCGAGAGTCTCGTATTTCAGAGGAAATAAAAAAAATGCTATCCAAAATATTGATAAATCCTTTTAATTTTATGCATCAGAGAAAACTATTTATGTCTAAATTGCATGTAACCGCTTTTCGATTTCGATGCGAATGTCATAAGAATGACTCTACAAACTTGTACMCTTTTCATACTATGCAACACTTTCAAACAACTAGCTACTTGAAAATGGGTGTACTGAGATTAGTATAATCTATGATAAAGGCGAAGCCTTGATCACAAATGGTTTACAACGTGCAGTAATCAATCTTGGCTGAGCCTGGTTAAAATTGATGGAAAGGATTGAGGTTATTTAAGGTAAAGGAAGAAGAAGGAAGAAGAAGCGGTCCCTTCTTCCCTTTGCTTCCCCTCCTCCTTCCCACCCCCCTCCTTCCCTCCCCTAAGGTCCATTCCTAGTAATTCTATTGCGTTGTTACGCTTGGTAGATGTCTTAGATGTCTTGTTCTAGTCCTCGACTTTAATCAAAGGCTGCACATCTCTTGATGAAGCTCTTCCGCGGCTCATATCCCCTGTTCTTTCCCGAAAGCCCTCGTAGCCCATTCCGGACGCAGGCGATGGTCCTTCGGTGGAACGCGTGATGGGACTTGACATTTGATCATGAGAACCAGGAATGACCACTCCCTCGTTGCTATGGCCGGAGTTGTTGATGGGAGCCTGCGGAGGCCTTTCTTGATCGTAGTTATCTTCGATTTGTACGTCATCACTCTCCAATATTTTACTTTTTATTACGCGATAAGTAATGAAGAGTGCCGATGCTAAAACAATCACGACAACCAGCAAGACGTTGCCAACAAGAAGAGACTTGTAAATAGCCAAATTGTAATTCTTTTCGTACGAGTCAGGTGGGCTCAAGTTGTCACAATAATATAGGATGCCACGAGGGCTGGGGCCTACGCGCGCGCATGCGTAATACGTCGACTTACGAAACCCCAGTGCGAGCCAGAGCATCGGGTATACGAAGGAGACAAAGAACGATATGGTAATCTTGATTTTATAYCATCTTCCTTGGCACTCGGTGCACTGATGAAAAACGCCCGAGTGYATTTCCCAGTTTCTGCTTCTCGGGGGGTAAGAACATGGCTGTTTAGACTTGAAGTAGGCTTTAAGGTCCTTCCATGGTGATTGGGTGTCATGTTGATAAAAGTAAGAAAAGAACGCCACAAGGAAGATGCTGACAGCTGAAAAATAAGAATATCCCCTTTTTATGGAAAGCCTCTTATTACAAAAAAACCCGAACAATTTATTTGAAGATAAACAAGACGCTCAGCTCCTGGAGTGTGCACTGGGTTGCCCAATGTGCTGGTATGCTGGTGCTCATTTAACACCTTATCTTCGTTATGTACCGCGTTTTGGGAGTAGGGGGTACTTTGGAACATTTTAGGTGTATTTTTCTTTCAGAACTACGTCACGCAACCCAGTAACCAGCACTTAGTTTTTTTAAGCTGAGCATCGCAAGTTATTCAGTTTTGAAGGACGGTTATTTTATATCGTGAAGGGCGATCGTCCGGGTGAGTGTAGTCTTGAGAAAGACTGTTGTTGGTGACTGTCGTTTCGACAAGCTGAACAGAAGTCATCTTCAGAGTCCAGTGAGAACCCTTACGAATGAGAATCAATCAAGTGCTTATAAGCGGGACTGACTTTACGGTATTCATTTGAGGCACTTACCTGGAAGTCCTAGCATGGCGGTCCCATAAGCAACACCTCCCGTACAAGGACAAGATACGTCACCGCCGAGAGAAGACAATAGCAGATCGAAGATAACAATAGTAACAAGTACAAATGTGCCATGCCAACCAACAAAGTCCATAAGATTGGGGAAATGAATCCGAGGAACGTTAGTAGACACCCTACAGTAAAACGCAAACGGATATTGCATACGTGAAGAAAAGTTTGTGAAATAAAACATTTCTGCTTGTTGGGCGTAATGTCTCCCCAATTCGTTTGAAAACGAATCTTCAGTATTCAAAAAATGATAATTCTTCGTTTGCAATAGACGTCATAGTCGCCATGTTGGAAGAATTTGACAAAAGATTTTTCAATGAATTCTACTTTTGTTATATCTTCCAACATGGCGGACATCCCTTTTGTTATTATGCTTTCTTGGGATTGATTGCAAACCAAGAATAGTTTGAAAGTTCGATTAACTTGCCTCTTAGGATTTTTTTTTTATAGAGAAAACAATCATATATTATATACATTTCCTTGAACAAAACTCTGCTCTTGCATTTCAGCTACGTATATGCTTGGCTTAATCTTTCATGTATATACTAGGCTTTGAAGATTCGTTTTCAATAATGAATGTTCGAATCGAATAATGAAATCAACAATCCAAAAATAAGGTTTAAGGAGGTGGTTTAAGTGTAAGAATAAAAAGAAATGATGCTACTCTTGGAAATGATGCGTGGCCTAAAACGACGAAACATCTGAGCCGAAACGCCAAACTCTAAGCCGAAAAGTTCTAGTTACTGGGGAAATGGATCCGACGAACGTTACGAAAAGTCCTACGTTAAGAACAAACAAGCATTATTATCATTCAAACTATTTTTTCCGTCGTTTTGCTTGCCGAGACAAATGCAAATGACTACCTGCAAATAATATTCTGCTCATGGATGCAAAGCCGTTTTGCAGCAAATCACGTTCGCCAATAACAAATCACGATATTTTACGACTCAATTCGTCTAATAATTGCCTAAACAGTGTTAGGTTATCGAGATTTGGACTACCTGTGTTAGCTGTTTAGCACGAAAATGAAAATCTTGCGACTATGAATTTATACGAAACCGACTCGTCAGTACTGTCAGCACTTTCTGTAAAAGTGTTTTCTTGTTCCTATTGATTCAAAATTCAATACCCAATCATTTAGAAAATAGCGAAAACAAAGAACATTTGCAGCAAATATAACTAGTTTGTTTACAATGATGCCTTACTAAGCAAATGCATATATGCTTTAGGAATTGAAAGAACGAATCATTCCTTCAGCTGATTCACATTTTTGAGGCACTTTAATTGAGCGTTGAAACTTGAATAATTCGGCAAAGCTAGGGATTGTAATAACTGATTAATTAGATCCCGATACATGCAAAATCTTAAACTTTGAAGCTTAAAATGGATTAGCAGAATAAATTGGCTGAATCGAACCCAAAATAGCCATTGTCTGCACAGAGGCGGAAATGATCTCGACTAAGGGTGATGGGATTCGAAACTTGGGGCAAATTTAAATTTTAGTTACAGGTAAAGTAAATATATTAATTCAGTTACCTTAGGCTGAAATGATTCCTTAGTAGCGACTAAACCTTGAGCAAGACCTGCGAAGTTCACTGTGCACGATTCTGTTTTCTTCGTCCAAAGCAATCTCGTACCCAGAGCCTGCGTTTCTTCTGGCCTGCGGCGAAGAACGAGGGTTCTGACATAATCCATTTTATGGCGCATGCGCCATTTTTCGAAAGTGAAAAATAATTAATGAAAATCATGCTTTCAAACGGAGTTCCGTGTTTACTTCCGATCAAAATAAAAATTAGAAATGGGTAACTCAAGTCTTTGAAAGCATGTGCTCTTATACAACAGGTCTCTTTTTTTCGGATAAACCGTTCCAAGTCATGCACGACCAAAGTTGAGGAAAATCTGGTCTAGTTGGCATAGATGCGGTCATTGTGGGACGGACATCATTTCCACTATGGCATCTATTTGGTCCCCTAAACTCCAGTCCCATGATGCACTACGATGCCAACAACTCCGGAATGGCGCGCCTGCCGTAGTAGATCTTAAAATACAAGGAAACAACTTATAAAAACATTTATTAACTTGTAAAAATATTTGGTAACGTCAACCAAAACTTGAGTTTAATGTGTACTGGATATCCCGTTAGTCGTTTGTGACTGAGAATGGCAGGTTAGAAATTTAAGTCACAAGCAATATTTTATTTAGCATAGATATGATTTAAATTAAAGAAAAGAAAGAATATATCAACGAAAATGTTATACAACGGTGCAGAATATATGAATACTTTGCAAAATCCAAAGTGTTCGTCGTCATTTATAAGAGTTATTGATCGTATTATTTATAAGCTTCAAAATGCGTTCTGCCAGTGCTTCCTAATAACTTTCATTTTCTTATTGAATGTAAAACATTATTATGGTCTTGCATTAATTTTTAGCCTTGCAAGATTAAGGATATGTCTTAGAGTGTAACGGATAAAACAATCAATATCAAGATACAAAGTGATGCGTTTCAAATAATAATTTTATTTACAGAAAACGACTGTCATCATAACACATCTTTCAATCATAACCAATGACATAAACACAAAGACCATATAGCTTTCTGAATATTTACAAGGAGTTTTCCTATATTAACTGTACACTTATTTGCATGAAAATATTTATATAAAAATGTCTTAAGAACAGAAACCAACTCCTTAACGATAAGTAGTCTATAATATTTACGAAAAAATTTATGTTAAGAAATCTATTGATCCAGCGCTATCTATGGCACGTTGTCATGGCAGCAAGCTGCATACAAGTCTTACATTTAACCCTACAACACCATTCGAACTTGCATTCACATTTAACTGATCTAACGAGTAACTTCTTTTGGATATTATAACCACAAGCTGTGCACAAATTATTACACTTTGCATAGTTTGGAGAATCACTATAACATACTCGACCCAGGACACCAAGTGAGCCAGCGGTTGCGTTGTAACGGCAGTAGTCTGGGGATGATTCAATGAAAACGAGGCTGCGGTCTTTCTTGGCGATTGGTTGGAAAGTTTTGGGTTTGATTTTCTGGACCAGTTTATCTTTTTTCACGCGAACTTCTTTAGCTTTCAGGTACTTTTCTTTCAGGTAGTTGCCGACTTTTTCAAAGGGAGCGAGTTGCTTCCAGCAGGTTTTGGTTGAGCAGCTTCCACAGACACCATGGCACTTACACTCTTTCATCAAAGTAGCTCTGACCGCCTGGAATTATAACGAGAAATTTTTCTATTAGAAAATGAGTATTAAGATAAAGAAAAAATGATAAGATAAGAGAAAAAGAAGAATATAAAAAAGAAAGAAAAGAGAAGAGAAGAAAAGAAAAAAACATTAGAAGATAAGAGAAAAAAGAGGAAAAAATTCCTATTATAAAATAAGTATTAAATTAAAGAAAAAAGGATAAGGTAAAAAAA